AATACGGTGATCATCGTAAGTGAGCATCGATATATGGCACTCTTCACACTTTCGTCCGAAAGTGTTTGAATCCGAAGTGCTGGGATGAACGGTGTTCAACTCTCCGGTATCCATATTTTCCGCCATCTTGAAACTGAAGGCGGGCTTTTGAGTTTCGTTACTAAAACTACAATTTTTTACTCAAGGTGACTAAGTACGAAGTTCTTGATGTCCACAAGAGCTTCCTGACACACTAATAGTTCGGTGGCTGTGTTGATGGGTGGTAACAATGTATTTCCACCGCAAAAACAATGATATTTTGGCAAGCCCAAATTTCAACCGTGAATCAATCTCGTGGTTAAAAATGGAAGTATGCAAATCAGATGACAGGGGAAGGACGCCCCTACGGGAGCTATCCACTGTTATTTCGATTTTATTTAACCAGTATTATATGATAATTGGCAATTATCCCATTTGTTTATGAAATTAAAATTTCATTAACCAAAGGGGTTAGTATGCAATACTCTGTAATAAACTTCTGTAAATTGAACACTCATGTTTAACTGACAGGTTTCCATGGTAAAGTTGAAAAGTCACCCTGTGATTTTGAGAATTTTGCAAGCCAGGGTAAACTGAACCTATTTGTACAACAGTTTTCCCGAAGAAGCCATAATTTTAGGACGAAACGTTAAAAAGAATAAACGTCATTATTACAGAACTGACCAGGTGTATTGTTGTGATAATCTTTGTGTATTTGCATATTATCAACCCGCAAAACTAGCAACTGGGGATCGTCTGATCTATTATTGTTAAGTATTTTGTAGCATTGAACATTTCACTGAAGCAATGAAAGACACCCATAGTGGAATTTTTAAGACCTAGAAAGTGCAATGCACGTGACAAAGAGTTTTAGAGGCAATTCACAAGAATATCATACCATGCAGAGTACACCCAATATATATGACTCATTGGTAAAACAATAAAATGTGATGCTGAAGTAAAACAGCATGCTATTATTTGCAAAAATTACCGTAAAATTTAAATTTGCCACCCATGTAAATTAAAGATCAAAATGAAAAGCTATATAACCAATGTAATACATATTTAAGACTTGATCAGATGAGAACCCAATTGGTATTCTCCAAGGATCAACCGAGTGTGCCTAAATCAGTCTCTGTCACAGATGAATGGGAATATTATTGTATTCCTAAGATATGTGCATGGAAAGACAAACAGATCATTATATATGTCACCGAACCAGAAAATGCTTTATTTCCTGATGGCTTGTTAGTAACAGGGAATGACAGACTCATCACTGTTCAACTTGTATGATACAGAAGTGCCACGACAATTTCAAATTTGCAGAAATACACTATCAACATTTTCAATGACACTGAGTTTAACTGTAAACAATTCTGAAATATTTATAATTTTAGTATAATTTGGTTTAATGCCTGATTTTGATGAATCTTAAAGTGCTAGTCATCTCACCAATCACATTTGATATAGATCCTATGCAAAGTATACAACAACATATGATGACTATGACACTTAAAAATCTCACAAGAGTAGACTTTCTGCTAAATTTGGAAAAGCTTGAATTAGTCAAAACACATGGCATAGCTGAAAAAAAATTCCAAGTGGAAAGATCATTTTACTTTTTATGATGCCAATTGAGCTATGTGACTCAGGATGAGGTTTGTATTAAATCTATCTGATTCCAAAAGTCTAAATATAAAGAACAAGAAAGATCTCATTTGTGTTAAAGAAGAAGTCAAATTTACAGATGTAATAGAATGTGTGTAGGCGACTGTAACCTAAAAATATCAACAGAATGAGGAATAATGTAAAATTATATGTTGAGTTCAAGCAACTTCAATAAATGAAACCAAATGAGCATTGTGAGAGTTTATGTAAACAACAGAGATAATGGCACCCTGCTCAGATATGTAATAGAATAATAACATTAAGTGTGGAACATTGTTTTGTATCACAGCTTACCTCCATCCAGTTCAGAACTGGTGCACAGTTAATCATATCCCCGGTAATCTGAGAGAACCGTGATAAATAGTGTGATAACATAGCTTGTACAGCCTGCAAAAAAAAACAACAATCATACATTAGTTAACTGTATCTTGAACAAAACACGTCAAAACAACTGAACAGTATAAATGGCATAATCTGTATAATCTGAGTTAATTCATAAAATAGTCCCACTTATAGTCTGCACTTTACTTCAGAAGATTGGGACAAAAATAGCCAGTAAAAACTGAAAATTGACTCAAATTTGGTCTGGTGGCTCCAAAATTAAGGTTCATGTCAAGAAATATTGTAGAATATAAAAAAAAGTGCTGAAAAATTTGGGCAAGAAAGTCTGGTGGTAAAAAGGTTAAGACTAGAATGTACTCCCCATGATCTATTTGTTTATTTGAAATTGTTCAAACTACCAAAAAGACCTGGGCACAACTTGCACTGATTACCACTGATGACTCCTTCAATACCTTCCAAAAAACAAAACAAATTAGGGCTTGGTAACATATCAGTTTATACTCATTAATCTGCACAACAGCAAAAGTCGCCATCTTTGTTTATATGAGACCCATATATCATGCGCATGCATGGCGTGATGACTACAGACTTTTAAGATCTGCATTACAGTTGCATTGCCAGCAAAATTATATTTGAAGTTTTTGTTATGCGAAGTAATATGCCTTCTACAATAATAACAATTGTGACTGTATTCACAAGATATCACTGAGAAGTTTTAAAATTAATATCAAAAGTGAAACAATTTTTATAGAGATCAGTCTGAGAGACACACCAGCCTTTTGTGTGGTTTCTTGTATAGCCATACAATACAACTCTAAGACAATGTTCATCAGCATCAGCACCAACAATAATATATCCCCTCCAACTGAATGTTATATTCCAACTACAATTACTGTGAGTCTGAAAAGTAGGCATAATCTAATAATCTAAAGTGGAAGACTACTGAAAGGCTATATACTTACCTCATGGTTTGGTGCAATGGCTTCACCTTTGGGTAGTTCAACTAACTGACTATATCTTCTATCATAAATACATCGATGTAAGTGTTTATCTAAAACTCTGAAATCTTCATAGCATCGTTTTAATATCCATGATTTATTCTGGCAGGTGACTTGCACTGTGTAGTAGTAGTTAGGTTGGTGTGGAATATTTACATCAGCCATTTCACTATCTTCACATATTAAAATCTGACAAGTAAACATATAATATACATTTATGTTTAATAAATTTAAATTTATCATTTCATATACATCATAGAATCGTGGTTTAGGGATAGTCACACCGGTGCAAGTGACCACCTCTATATAAAGACTACCTGCCTATAATGACCACTTTTAGGCAGTTCCAAGGCATAATGTATGAGCAACCTGTGTATAAAGACTACCTGCCTATAGTGACCACTTTTAGGCAGTTCCAAGGCATAATGTATGAGCAACCTGTGTATAAAGACTACCTGCCTATAGTGACCACTTTTAGGCAGTTCCAAGGCATAATGTAAGGGCAACCTGTGT